ACGATTGATTCGAATCTCCTAGATCACTCAGAAGCTTCGAACCATTGAAATAATTCAGATAATTCAAATAATTCAAATAACACGATTGATTCGAATCGTCTAGACCACCCAGAAGCGCAGAATCGTCCAAATAATTCGAACAACTCAAACGATTGGTGTAACCGAAAGATTTCCGAGCATCGGATCGATCAATCGCTGATTGCCCGCAGGGCCTCTGATTCCCGCTCATTTCAAGGTAACGAACGCCCGAGAGCCACCGACAACTAACGACGAGCCGAGTCAACGTACACCTACCCACACCTTTTGCTGCGTACTATCTTTTGGCCAGGTTCCCGCACTCTTCGACTTCCCGATGTCGCCTTTAAACCGGCGATAAACGACCGATTGTTCTATCGAGCGCACAGTCGAACTCTCTCCGCTCGTCCCGTTTCCGTTTCGAAACGACGACCGTCGACGGTAAGACAACGCCAACTACTCTCCGCGTCCGACGAGACGCAGCCGATCCGCCGCGACGACTACTCAGCGCCAGTCCCACCGACGACTGACTATCACTGCCATGTCGAGAGACCGCGTCACTCGCTGGCGCGATAATTCAACTTTGATGCACGTGCTTTATCGTCGACGGGCTCGTTCCCGCTTCCACGAGCGATTTATCTCCGTAGTTGCGAATTCGGCGGAACGTTCTACTTTCGCGTTCGTTTCCGATTGTCTCGGTGTAGATTTTGCTGGTTTCTTCTTGACAGAGGATGGTGTGGTAGAAAGCTCTGTATGCTTTCAGATCTTTCGCGCGTTAAGAAAAGCCCGTGAATGATACTGTGGGACCAATGATCGAATTAGGATCGTATGATGTCGAGCTCGATAACATTAGAAGAAATAGAAAATAAAATAAACGAAACAATTGTTCTTGGTTATTCTATTAGAACGCCGAAAAGGAAGCCACTGTGGTTAAGTCTTTTAACCCGTTGCACTCGACGATATTTTTCGCGACTAACACAATTGATTATCTTATATGAAATAAGAGACAACTATTTTACTTGGATGTTTTATGTGTTGATACGTTACACAAGGTTTAATATTGTGTTAATGGAACACATTCGTGTTAATGGAGCTCTATGTCACATAAGTATCTTTTACCAGATACACCCTGTATATACGAAATATCCAAAGTGGTTCCGCCGTTGAACTAAAAGCTTGATTCTCGATTAATTACAGCCTAGCCAGTGCAAGCAATAAAGTCTGTGTACGCGAGGCGTTTCAAAGAACACTTTGAATTTGTAACAGACTGGCAGTATCCAGGAGAGAAAGGGGATACGCGGTCAATGGTTACTCGAATAATGACTATCGTTCAATTGTGCGTATACACGAGCATCGTGAAACAGAACGGCGAATACTGCGGTCAGCTAAGTGGATCGCGGTCTCGGTGTACGTTTCGTGATTAATATTCGAGGATCGTCGAACTGATATTCCGGATTTTCTATACCGGTTCCGAAACGCTACCATTCGTATCGATTATCAATTGAGAAGCTGCTGCGGTCGTCTTCGTTTTTTCATATTTTCTGATTCCTCCGAACCTTAATGGAATAAATAATCTATCGTATTAATCATATAATAAACATAACCAAACATTTTAGAGATCAGTGTATTAACCCTTTGCAGTCGGAAGTATTTCGTTAGCAATACTTAACATTTTTTAACTAGACAAAGACGATGGTTTTTTTAAATGAATTCATTATACACAGTTCAATATTAAGTATTAAATTTTCTAATTTTACTGTGTCAAATCAAACGGTGACTGAGAGTCAAGGGTTAGTTATCGATTATTGAAATGGGAAGAGAAAAGGGAAATCGTGGGACGATTATTACGCTTCGGTTTTGAGAATTCTGTCGGCTAAAGGTTAATTCATTTAGGAACACGCGAGCTAATTGATCGAGGAGTCGGGCAGCCTTCAAGTTGCACGATCCAGATATACAAGCGAAATTGTTTATCGCGCGAGGGCCGTTTTAATCTATAACGTGTACAAAAAACTTCTGCAACGTTGTTGTCAGTGATAACTCGGCGAACGAGATGCCGGAAATGATAAGAGATACCGTGCGAAGAAAAAAGAATTCCAGTGGATCGAGTTATCGTTCTATATTTGACAAACCAGAGACTTAATTAAATAATGAGTCACGAACGAAAATTTGTGTCGCATTTTTCATTGTGCTCTTTACTAAATTATTCAGCGAATTAGTTGTCACGGGATATTAATGAAATATATACAGTAATTAAGAGGAGGAAATAAATGAAATATTAATGCAAAGAGAATTGCTAAACGAATGACACTCAAAGTGTTAATATTGTGCTCCTCTCGAGACTATGAATTTTAAGGAATTTACTCAATTTTTTCGAATCATGCTGTTCAAATTTCCCGCGCGTTTTAACCTGCAGCCGACGCAGGTAAGGCGGGATTTTCGAATCTCGAATCGAAGTTTCCCGGCAGAAGAATAACTAACCGTTTGCTTTGAAAGCGAAATAAGTCCTTTTAACAGAACAAAATCGACGAAAAATCCAATTGGAGCAGAATTAGGGAAATGACAGTAGAATTTTAACTATTATAACCAATAATTTGGTTTTTCGAAAGATGGACTCAAGCTAATTTCAACATAAACGGTTCGAACATCCTCGACAAACATTCGAAACCGATTGTACGAAGAATCGATAGATCGTACGGTGTACAGGAAGCCGAGCGCGGCAGATATTCAAACACGAAAGCCAAACACGAACAATGTCGAGGCGGATGGTCGCGGATAATAACGTTAACGGTGATTTTAGCAATGGTAAATTTCACCGTAGCTTCTCTCTAGTTTCCGCTTAATATCGTCGTACTGTCAATTTCGAAAATTTGTCAGAATCTCAGTTCATAGGTAGTTAAAAGCAGGTCAGTGTATTTTCAAACAAAATCGAAGCATCGGGTCGACTGTATCGCTTCTAAAAGTATGACAGTTAATTACAAAGAAAATTCTTATGGCTCCATGAATCTCATTTGTTGCGTGTTATTGTAAAGTAATAGATCTTTTAAATTAGCATATAGAAAGAATTAATTTCTGAAAAGAGAGTTAATCGTGTCACTTCGCAAAGGTGAAAAATTCGTATGATTTGACAACGGAAAAATCTGTTGCGAACTATTGCAAAGAAATGTCTCTTGTAACTCATCGAACGAGTAGAAAATAAAATAAAGATATAATTACGTGTCCCCAATTGCTCTAAACGCGCGTGTCCAATGAACGCAGCCCGTTTAATCGAAACGTTCGCGTCGCTCGTTGTCGATCTTCGTCAAGGCGCGTCGGTGTTTCTACTAATTCAAATGGAGCCGACGATCGCGCGACAGTCGAGATAGCGGAGATCGGTCGCCGATTAATCGGGTATCGGGTCACCGATGCGTCCAGCTTGAATACAGCTCGCCGCAGGTTACCTTATTAAAGCTAACCGGCTTGTACTGGCCTAATTACTCATTAAATCCCGCTTAATACGCGACACTGTCCTCCCACCTGCCACGATAAATCCTCCATTATGGTCCCACGTGTGCTGACCGATCATCTCTCTCTTCTTTCCGCATCGCTGCCCGATTAAACCGACCTTTCTACCGGGGAGATACTTGTCAACATTCTACTTTCGGATATTTGACAGGTTTTTCTGTCGATTCCGACATCTTTCCCGTTTATGCGGATTGGCAACTGGAGATCGTTCACTGGAAATTGCGAATTTAAATTGGAAATTCACCATTGAATTGGAAGCTAGAAATTCAACGTTTCATTCGAAAATTCGAAACTGAAAATTAGAAATTGGAGATGGAGGATCCATCAATTAACTGGACTTTGAATTTCAGTGTATCGAAGCTGCAACTTTCAGAATTACCCATGTAGATTCGCGGCAACACGCGTATCGCGTCTACGGTTAATTAACGGACACATTCTGTTCGGATAATAAGTCGCCCGAACATCGGAGAACGCGCAAACTGAGAATGATCGGTAACCCGTTTACCGAAGCGTTTACCGAACAAGCGACAATTAAAATGCCAGCGAAACGCGAGCGCGGATTACAAAACGATCGGTGCGCGTCGGTAGATCACCGTGAAGGAGCGGATCGACGCCGATCGTCGGCGGGCTCGCGAATAAATCTCGCGGCGCGCGCGAAACCGATCGGTCGTACGTGGCATTTGTGCCACTTTAAGGAAAGTAAGTCAATGCGATTCGCGCGAGTAAGGTTGCGCTTGGGATCGAAGGCCTCGCCGCGGTCCGGGATCGAGATCTACACGGCCGGTCAAAAGTTTGGATCCATTTAACATGTAACGTCACCAATTAACTCGCGCTGATAATTCATTCAGCGGTTTACCACTCTTGCGCGATGTGTTTTGTTTCTGGAAGTTTCACGTAGTTTTGTCGATCGTGTCGCATAGAATGATACATTTCAAAGGAATCTGATATGCATGTCCAATTAGCCAACTTCTAGAACATGCATTGCAACTATTTTCATCGAATCACGAACAGTATTCTTAATAATTTCCAAAAGCAAGAGAATTCTATATTTACGCATATCCCTGTTTGAGTCAAAGATAACAATAAACAATAGCAATAATATTCAATTGACAATAACAATGACAAGGTAGTTTCAAGTTAAAGGAACCACATCACTATTGCCATCAATCGAATTCAATTTCGCGTGTCCATGGCAAATGTTGAAACGCTTCGATGCAATAGAAACGGTAAAATGAACGGGAAATCCGCACGACTTCTAAGCGACTCATATTGTATGTCCATGTTCATCATAGACGAAAATTTTCCGATCAAAGTTGTTCGCAAGAAACGTAAGTTATTCTTTGAATCGACGAATTGGTCCTAAACTTTTGACCGACAGTGTATGTATGCACGATGGCAGGCGAGGCCCGCGCGGTCTCCTTTGCTCCGCTCGCTCGCGGAAAGCTTCCGCTCGCGTTCGATTATTCGAGGTTCAGATTACTCACCCTTGGACAGCTTGTCGACGGACTCGAAGCGTCCTTCGACCTTGTTCCGCAACGAATCCAAGTCGAAAGGCGTCGTGAATCCGTGATCCACGCTGCGGCTCTTACTCCTGCGGAAGAAAGGACTCGGTCAGCGAACGATCGCGCGGTTCATTTTGTTATTATACAGGTGTACAGTATTTTATAGGTATATACAGAGATATACAGAAGGATTAGAGAAAAAACGATCTTAACACTTAGCCAACCGAACGTGGAGATCTCCCACTTTTCACTTAGCAACCTTATTGCCTTTTATTCTGTTTATCTTTTCTTTTGTTGTTATGATTTGTTTACGAAGCACAGTTTCTAACCGAATGAAGTTAAGAACTTAAGTTAAGAATTTAGAAGTTAAGAAGTTAAGTTGAGTTGACGAACTCAATTGAAGATAATGGAGGAGGTTGTAGTTACAGTTCTTTTTAGTCGCCTAAGTGTTAATATCGATAAACTATTAATACGAACACATGCAGTAACAGTTTGCGGGGAATAACATTGGTTGTACGTACCTGAAGTAAGAGGACGTGAGGTTTTCGGTGGATCTCGAGTGCGTGACATCCTGGGACATTCGCCTGGACCTACGGTGCGACAAACAATCCAAAACAACAGGCGGTGAGAACACATGCGTCTACGTGCCAAACAAAATCAAAGAAACTCAATGAAAATATTCAACGGTTCAAGAGTAAAGTATGCAAGCGTTCGGAGAAGAGTGAACTGTTCTATACTGTTAGAATTTTCAGGGAGATCCAAACCTTTTACAGGCGTGCGTTCAATGTTCTCCGAACGGAGGATAAACTGGCTGAAATGAAATAATGGGAAATTAACTTATAAAAAGCAATTGCAGTCTACAGCTTAGCGGATCGCCGAAACGCGTAAGAATTAATAACACTGAGATTAGAATGTGAACACTCACTGGAAAACCATGCAACTGAAAGTCTTTGAGACTGCGTATATAATAACGTTAATTAACACTTAAATCTATGTCTCGAACATCGTTCCACCAACGGGTAGTTTCATATCAATTGGGAAACAACGATTAACCTTAGAGAATAATTTCAAGTTGAAATGTTTAAAAGTGTCCTTCAACGATTTGGTTAAAGATGACGTCAAAGAGATATTTTCAAACGCGGTGTCCTTCTTCGGTACCGCGTTTCCGGCGAACCGACACCGGAAACACGAATGCAGGCCCACGGTAACGAGTGAACTCGTCAGGGTGGCTCGGCAAATCGAATTAAAGCGTCGGGAGCAATTACCGCCGGTCTGAAGCGGTGCCACCCGATCCGCCATGTTTGCGGCTGCACGCGAAACATCCGCCAAGTTAACCCTTCGCCTTTTGGTATCGTGTCAAACGCGTGACGAACGTTTCTCATCGAATTTTCAAATTTTCAAATCTATCCGAAACCTCCATCGCTTTCCTTTCAATCATAGTCAAGATAACAGACAAGGGATGCTTCATTCACGGTCAATATCATCTTTCTGTGATGAATAACCTTCGAAGTAGACGCTGACGTAGAACAATCGAATTTCGTTCTTCTAATAAACGCTTAACGATCGAGTAATCATGTTTCATCGAGCAACCGTGAAAGAAATGGTTCAACAATGGGTTTAACCCTTTACTCTGTAGGCTCCAATATTGCTCAGGAATAACAGATATTTTAAAGAATCTTAAAGAAACTACCCCAAAATTATTCGATTTCTCACACGTCCAAATTTTGCATTGAGAAGAAAAATGAAAGATCGAGGAAATGCTACAGTATTTCTCATTTTTGTCCAAGTAGCACAGTTCCCGAAGAAACGGTCGGTTAAAAACGGGGTATCCACGAACGAGCAACAAACTGACAGAAAAGGGAAGGTGTCACGTTTGGCACGACGCCCACGCGGGAAGCGATCGAAATAATCAGTCCGGAGGATAAGCGCACGGCAAAGGATTCGACGAGCGTCGAGTCAACAAACGGCGCGTTTGTTCCGCGATGCAAAATGGAGGAGCGAGAAGAGAGCCGGGAGACGGTTCCCGCGGCTCCGTCCGGCGAGTGTGGGACGCGGTAACGTAAATAGTTGACGACAGGAAGTGGATCCATCGGTCGGCGCGCGTTCGCGTGAAACGGGAAACGCGTAGAAACACGCGGCGATATTTCACTCGGGTCTATAAATATTATGCGCAGAGGTAGAATCAATAAGCCGGCCAGAGCGATGGTCACCGGAGATATAAATAATAAATGTGACTCCGGAGGCGATGCAGTTGGACGTGATAGCCGGTGTACTCTGAAATCCATCTCATTTAACGCACCGATGGAAATGGCGAACCGACGCGCGCCGATTTTCCAGGGGACGGACGATTTATTCGAGGGAATAAATTTGATTCGTTCGCTGGAAAACAACGCGAATCTACAAGTCATCCGTGGGGAGTTTCAGTTGCGATACGCGAAAATTCCAAGTTGCGAGTAAAATGTCTCAGATCGTTAGGACGCAGTTCTGATCCTGAAGAATTCGGAAATGATCGAGGAATTTGGAAACTTAGGGGTTTAGATTCATAGAACGAGACTCGAATCTTCTGAGGCCTGGATTCCTAATGTTTACTGAGTTCCAAATGTTTACTGGTGTCTACATCATTGCCAGCCATTCTATAAATCCTACATCATTGCTAGCACATTCTACAACCTGCATCACTACTATTACATTCCATAACCCTTACATCACTGCTAATGTTTAACACTAAAGCTACCGAGTTCAATTGACTTTTGAAAATTTCGCTATAGAAACTCCAAGAGTGCATCTGTTCCGACTTTAATCAATTTACAATTCAATTTACGTAGTTCTAAATGAATTTCTTTAATTTCTCAGAGAAACATTCGTTACCTTTCTAATAATTGCAAAAAGACATCATGGGTCATTTGATCCATCAGGTAGTTTTAGCGTTAATGAGTTCCAAATGTCTACTGACGTCCTGTTTCTACATGATTGCGTCTTCTACGAATCCTACACAATTGCCTACACAGGGGTTCTACAACCCCTGCGTCATTATTATTCTATTCCATAACCCTTACGTCAGTATCCCCTACTAGCCCCGCATCATCGCTATTATCCCACGATTCCCAAACGGCCGTGCAGCTTTCAGAGGTAGGCAACCGTCTCATCAATAATTCGATCGTCCGACGCAATTTCCCGCAGGAACTGGAGCCATTTAACGAGCACCCGAGCGATATTTTATTCACAGCGGGCGGGACGCGTCTCGTTTAAGGGCGGCCGTAAACATACACGAACGCCTCGCAACCGCATTAACGTTGCGCCGCGCGCGCGAGAGATGCAATCCCAACTGTTGCTCGCGCGGCCAATCCCGCCGCGCCGTAAACCGGGAACGCGTCGCTGGTTTATGCGCGGATACTTTGCAGCGACGGCTAATACCTCGCTCGATTTCACGTCCCGCGTCGTTGTCGATCGCTTCATCCGGCCCGACCGGGTCCCACGACACACCCGTATCGCGCACGCGCTCGCTCACCGAATCGCGAGCAGCCACCGATTAAACTCCATCGACCAGTCATCCCCTTTCTCTCTTTTTCAACGGGTTCCGTGCTTCCTTTCGGATTTTCGTTTTTAAAGGGATAGAGTTCGAAGTATACCGTGACGAATGAAAACGAGCGAAAAACATGAGGAATATCGGATTTTGTAAGCATCAGGTGAATGTAATTACTGATATCTTAGCCAACCGAATGGGGAGATCTCCCAGTTTTCACTTAGCAACGTATTGCCTTTTATTCCGTTTATCTTTCCTTTTGTTATTTAGTAAGTCTTGAAGTGGGATTATTTGCAATTCATCAGATACAGTTCTTTTTACAAAACGCAGTTTCTAACCGAATTGAATGAGTTCAATTGAAGATAACGAAGAAGGTTGTAGTTATAGTTCTTTTTAGGTGGTCGCCTAAGCGTTAAGCATTCAATACTTAAAACAGTCTTGAAAATAAAGTTTCGTTTGAATACTATGATGTCTGAAGAAACTGAAGGTAAACTATCGTTAGAATTTTTATAGATTACATATTAATCGTAAGTGCTCGGATCATTTCCGAGATCTAAACGAACAAACGCTAATTTCCGTAACAACAGTAGCACAAAGTATATCATACATGCCCGTAAACCTAGTCTCAATGAATATCTTATTCGATTTTACCCGTGTCTCACGAGAAAGGTATGTCCCCGTCTCGAGATAACATTCGGCGCTTCAAGTACAATCACATTGCTATAAGATATCGTACAAAATCTCGCCATCAATCAACGAAATTCAGTTCGCTGCCAGCGTAGTCTATCATGCTCTCGGTAATGAAATCAGTACGAAAAATCACGTCCAGGAATCGCAGCATCCACGAACAAAGGACAAACGAGTTCCCACTCGAGTCCTGTTTCTAAAAATACCTGTACGACATCAGATATCGTTCAATGACAGTCTATTTATAACCCAGAAATGTTCGAGTCGTCAACACTCTGACCCATATTCCCTATCGTCCCATCTGCCCCGCGGAGAACCGAGGAAACCGGCGAATTGTCCCATTAAGGGACAATCAGTGGAACTGGAAAGCGTGGAAGCGTGATTCCTCGGCTCTCCTTCGTCTCTCCGCGGCGTTTATCTTGCCGGTGATTTCGTTAGATATCGCCGGCCGATAAAGCGTGAGCCGTCCGTGAGCGGACTGCGATGGAAACGGGTTTCCAGGTGGCGCACGGCGCGGCCGAACGACCGTCTTCTCCTCGAAACTCGATAACTTCGAAAGTGCGAGCGATACAGAGAAATGCTTCGAACGAAATTTTTAACACTTCGCCGGCCGCACGTTTATCGCACCGCCGTTAGGTTGCGAGTATGACGCAGGAAGGCAAAAGACAGTTTCAAACTGACAGAAGCATCTGCTTGAAAGATTTGAACAAAAGACGATCTGGTAAAGTGGAAGCAATTGTTTCTCGAAAAATAGCATCGATATGTATTCCTATACAAGCATCGGAATGATAATCACGCGTACGTGACAGCGACCGATAACAGCTGGCGAAAAGTCACGTGTACGTGACAGTGGCCGGTAAAGTGTTAAGATATAGAGGGGACACATGGTGGTTACGTTTTCTTCGCATTACGGGGATATTTTGTTCTTTTAAAATTTCAGTTCAGTAGTTTATATATTTTTCTTATACAAACTTCTTTGACCCTTTGCATTCGCATCGGTAACCTTAAATTTTCGTTACGCGAGTAGTCGAATTTCGGGGTTTCGTGGAGACGGCCGCATTGCGCGGCGGAGTGCAACGCGGCGGACAGGTATGCATCGGAAGGGGCGAAGGTGGTCCCGTGTGCACCGGTGCAGCGCGTAAGGCTTCATCCCCACTAGCAAGACAGGTGATACACTCGCGTATCGCTGATTAGCAGACAATGAGGCAACCTTCGATTCGTTATCTGTGCATTGTTGGCGTAGGCGGGAAGCTTCTGCGGAATTGCCGGGCAGATGGATCTGTGTGCGAATTTAACCCTTTGTGATCGACAATATTTCTTACTGTAGATATTTCATACTTTCCGATGAAATATTAATGATATTTCTCGAGATACGTTTGA